CAGCCCAAGAGCCACAGTCCGAGAGTGATTTCAGCAGACTGCAAGTGAACCCCATCAGTGACAGCACAACCTGGAAAGCCAACTGACCCCCCAATTCACAAACGAACAAGCAAGCAGAGAAATAAGTTAAAGAGCAAAAGAGTTAAGGAGCAAAAGAGTTCACACAAGAGCTAGTGAAATAGTAATGGCCCCCCAGCCCACTCCCCGCTTATTTACTGAGCATGACATGCTATGGAATGAAATACCCTTTTGGTCAGTCTGGTTTGGCTGTCTGAACTGTGTATCCCTCCCAACATTGCTTGTAGTGAGAAAGTTAGGAACACAGCTGCAGTATCAGAAGCTTGAATTTGGTGCAAGCACTTCCCAACACCAACTAAAAGGACACCTTATCAGTATTTTTCTCCAGGTGAATCCAGAAACCTAGCTTCATTCCAGCCACTGCGAACAAAGTTACCTCTTTCCTGACTAAAACCAGCACAAGTGTGAACAATCCTGTAGGAACTATGTAGACATTGAATAGAAACTAGTGAGAGAATAAAGACCAATACAGTTCTGGAATGCCTGGTAGTTCTCAGTTTCTCGTTTGCCTGATAATGTGATGAGAATATGCTGTACTTTCCTAGAGGGCATCACAGAACCACAGTCAGTTCTCCAACAAGCCCTGCTACAACATTGCCAAAGAGTGGCCAAATTAAAACGAGCATTTGTGGACTTCTGCTTTTGGTTTACAAATGTAAGAAGCATTTTGTTATGTGGCAGAAATCCATATATTTCCCTCTCCCCCAACCCTCCCACCCCCCAAAAAAAGAAATCAGCCTGAGAAGGTTTAGGGGATGTAAGGAAATGAAATGGGGGCTCTATTATCAAGCCTGAAACACCTATATATGTAATTATGCATGTCTAGAAGTACTTTTTATACATTATATGTAACTGAATTTTGAGCAACTGCTCTCGACTTGCATTTAGCTATGAAACCTGTTTCTCTACTAGACTTGAACGGTGTGGATGCCCAAATCTTGCTCATTTTCCTATCAGTTTGTCTATGTAACAAGGCAATTTCTGTGATAAGGTAACACACACACTCCAGTTGATGCAGTAAAGGGAATTAAGAAACCTCCTGTGGTCAGAATGAGTCTCTGATGAAAATATGTATTTTAAAACCACTAGTCAATTATTAGCTAAGCTGCTGGAGCACTGTGCTCTTCACGAAGTAACCTTTGACTGATGGACTGTCCCCTTTGACACTCAAGCCTGAAGACACCTCTTCTACCAACCAATCCCCTGAGCTCTGGGGGTGGTCACACACGATTTGCTACAGAGAGAGCATTGTGCAAACTCTGACATCTCCGTCAGAAGTTTCATACCATGGAGCTTCTTGTAAATGTAAGAAAATGGATAGAAGAAAACAAAGCTACTTTTTTGCCACCTGTGTGCAATAAGCTTATGTAAGTAAATGGAGATTTTTTAAAATTTTACTTAGTTCTTAGATATACAAATGTTCTTAGCTATAAGAGGAAGCTGCTAAAATGCGTACATATTAAAGATTAGTAAGCAACTGTAGTTCCTCTCAGACTGCGGTCAGAGTGCTGATTCGAAGAACAGAAAGTGATTGAAATCTGTTTTGCAGTAACTGCAGAAGCTGTGAAGATCAACGTGAATGCAAAATACTTGCCTCAAAGTCTCTTACAAGCAGTTTGAGTTTAGGGAATTTGTGTCAGGCCCTGTGGCAATAGATTTGTAGAAATCAGAGGAGATGGCATCACATCCTCAAACAATAAGGTTTAGCTAAGAGATTAGTGCTACCCAAATTACAACCTGAAACGGCTGCTGGAGCTGCTGAGAGTCATTCCAGCATTGCAGACGAGCCAAAACTACAGGAGCGATCAAACCCAGTGGGACATAACACTGCACAATAAGGAGAAAAGAAGGGCAGGGGCACTGGAGGAGCAGGTTTCCAGGGCATTTCCAGAGCTGCCAAGGCAGAGTAGGACTCTGTTCAGTGGGAGGCTGTAGAGTGAGCATTTCAGAGCACTGACTGGCACCTTAGAGCTACGAACCGCCTTCTGAATGACACAGCTAATATAGAACTGTGGGCATTATGCAGTTGTATAGCATGCGTATTCCCAGTGTCAAAACTCATGAGCAAATCCCACTGTAAATGGTCCAACATGTGACACCTTCTAGTCACAGCATTAGCAAGGTTTTCTTTTGTCAGTGAAGTTGGGACAGTATGTTTTGTCCAACACTCTATAGAAGGCTTTCATAAGAAAGGATTCTCTGCAAATAGGGATATATCAACCTGGGTTTTAGAAATAAAAACCATTTTTTCTTGCTTTGATTTTTTTTTTTAAATCTTGCTTTGCAACTTTAATTATTACAAAAAGCACCAAAGAACATGCCTCTTGCCCTACCCTGAAGCGCTACCTCTAATCAAAATCTGAATGGGCAGTTCTGTAGCAGTGATATCAATTTCCATTCACAGGTTCAAGGGTTACTTTTCAAAGTAATGGTTGCAAGACAAAAAACAGGTGAAGGGCACTTCTTAACTCAGATGACTGTGTTGAAACTACAGTTTTATGCTTAACTGAGAAATTATGAAACTGGAATGACTACAGTATTTTCATGGTGGGAGAGGACAATGAAAGTGTCTTCATTTCTTTCATTTTCCAAATGAACTTAGGCAGCGTTTTGTAAAGCATAGGCTTTTCTAAAGCTTTCCAATGATGGTAGTAAAATTTCAGTATTTTACAGTATGTGGAATATTCAGGGTTTTCTTTCTTCATCAGGAAGATGAACTTTTATTTCATGATGCCACTGTTCTGCATCCCCTACCAGCAGTTCTGTGTAATCTTGGAGTTAACTCTGGAACATGACATCTATCAGCGGTCAGTCAGTCACATAGATCCCTAAGTACTCAGTGTTGACAAATCTTCCCCATAAATCTTGCAAGAAGCTACACTAAAACAAGGAAGATTATTTTTTTTTTTTGGGGCGTAAAAATTACATGGATTAAAAAGAAAAACTAATCAATTTTTCCAGCACAGCTTCAGCCTGTGAAAGAGAGGAAAGCCATCTACTATATGGATTCTGAGTCCCTCACCACCTGCTCCTGGTGCTATCTAAATGTTTCCAGGATTTTCCAAAAAGGTTTTAGGCAATTATCCAAGAAGTGACTAATACATTGCCAACATTTTTCCAAAGGCTTTGATCCTTTATGTGCTGAGATGAATAAGGTAATCTTTTCACTGTCTTCTACATGAGAGGAAGGCAACCAGTTCAAAACATTTAAGTATCCTGTGTTTCGAGAGAGAATTAATGTTAAAATCTAGGTCTCACAGCAAGCCAGTAGGATTTTTGGTGTCTAAATTTATTATGTCTTTCAAGCTTTTACTCAGCTTTGTTCCGTACACTTGAGAGGATCACCAATTTTAAATACATACTTGGGATTTCAAAACAAATCCTCGATTACTGAATCACCACCTGTTTAGAGTTTTACCAGACTCAAGAAAAGGTTACGATGTCAGAGGTTCAGTTTAATTAGATGCATTTTAATGACACTATCTTGCAAATTTAAATGGTTTTTAACCTCAACAATGAGCAACTAGTGCAAAATCAGAACCCTTGACATACCTGATATTCACAGTGTAGCTAAGGCACTTCTAAAGCTCTTCTTTGAGTTCAGAATATGACACTGACCATAAAGAGGCCAAACTGTCATCATGGACTATCTGATGCTTCATGGTCTTGAGACTTTTTTAAAGGTTGCCTGCTGGTACCATTTTCTTTATGTGATTAAGAAGAAACTTCTAAGAGAATGTAAAACTTAAGAGGCCATTGATTAGCACATAATTCTAAAAATAGTGCAATCAAGTAATTTTCAGACCCCTTAAACCTTTATGATACTCTAAGTGCATTTTGGCAGTCTTAATTAAAACTGCTTGCCTTCCTTACGATTTTTCTTCTTAACTTAATGCAACTATATTAACCAGACAACTTTAGTTAGCAATATGGACAAATGTACTGAAGTTCCTGCTTGTATTTGGTAGCTGGAAATTTTTGATGGTGTCATTATAGAATTGTTAGCGATAGGAACGATTATCTCATGGTTGCCTGTTTATTATGTAAAACTCAGCTAAATCCATAGGATAACAGAATTAATGGTATTTTTGCTGAACAAAAAGTTAAACATCAATGCTTTTTAGAATAGTATTTTCACTTTTAGTTATTGAACTAATAAGGAAATTATATGGGTTTCTATAAAAAGTTCACTCATCTTAGAAGTAGGTTACAAGATACCCATAAATTGTCTTTCTCTTATTTTATTCTCCAGGGCTGATTTTAATTTGTTTCATTAATTATTAGCTGTGTTGTTACTGTTTTGATCTTCCTGCCCTTCTTTAGCAGAAGGCTTCACTAATGCAGAAATACTACAGTGCGTTCCTGAAAACGAACATTAAATCTGCATGGTACAAACAGTTCTGATTTCAGTTCCTTATTTTTGGGCATGAAGCCAATTGCTATAATGTATACAGCTTCCTATGGTGAAAATAGTCAATTTAAGAATTGTAATTTAATTTAATTCTTTAGACTTTTATTTGACCAAGGAATTTGTCACTGTTGCTTGTTATTTCTGCTTTATTAATCCCTACTGTGTTTTTCATTATCATTTAAATACTTTGAGGCAAAAATGATTAATAGTAGCAGATCAAATATATGTGTTCAGCAGTTCAGAATAGCTTCTCTCAATTAAGGCGTATGAGATGCTGACAGAGACACATTGTTCTTCCCTGTGTTGAAGAGGAGCGTGGCTCTACTGGTTCTGTGTTACTACTACAATCTCCTGTTAGCCCAAGTGTTGCCCAGAATGTTCTCACTGAGAAGAAACACCCCCCAGTTCCCATGCCAAAAAATAGCTCAAGGCCAAATATTGAATCACAGCTAACAGGCTTGATTTACAGGGGTTTTTGGCAAATGAAAACCTGCTACCTTACCTCTTTACTAGTGTAAATGGACTGATAGATAATTGGGATGATACCTAGTATTTATGGCAGAAGTGCTCACTGGGGCTCTGTAAAAGGGGCAGAGTTAAGATAAAGGGCCTGAATCACCTTTTCTGAATCAACCATTTGTAATGTTGTTCCACCTTTGCAAAACCAGTATAAATACCAGATAAATTAGCTGATAATTCCTACTGTCACTATCTCTAGTAATTCTACCAATGAGAAAAAAAAAGGTATGTTTTTACCTTTATTAACCTTAAAAGGTGTTTTACCTCTACAGAATCCTAATCTAATCAGCTCACACTGAAAAGACATTTTCCTGTCATTCCTCTTACTTTATCTTTACAGTTCAAATCTCTTTCCACAGCTGGCAACTACCATTGTCCCCTTTTCATAGCTGGAGGTACGGAAACACCAGGAGGGAGGTAGATGGCCCCAGGTCACCCAGAAGGACAGTGGCAGAGCAGAGAGATGCAGACAAGGTCTTTAGAGTTCTCATTCTAGATGTTGCTTGACACTGAGTATTGTGTCGTTGACTCACTGTCCTCAAAGAATTAAAGTACACACATATGAAGTAAAGACTGAGTGGAGGTAGCTTTAAAATGTCATTTTCTCTTTTTTTAGGCATTTCTATCAATTGAATGTGATGTTTGTTGGAGGGCCAAATGAAAGGAAGGATTATCATATTGAAGAAGGAGAAGAGGTAACTTATAGGTTGTTTATATTTTTCTGATTTAATTGATCTATAATGATTAAAAAGCAGCTACTTTTGAAGCTACAGCTACAGATTAGCAATGCCAGGCTAGTGATGTTGTATTTATTAGATCTATTCAAAGACTTAAACAGAATCATACACCATCTGTGCATTTCCTTTGAAACAAGCACATGAGATCAGATCTGTTTTGCTATAATTCATTTCCAACAGGAAAATAGAGAAAGTGTTCTGACACACCAAAATGTCACGCTTCAACATTTTGGAACAAAACTTTGGAAAGGTAACAATATTTTTGAAGTGTTATTTTGTAGCAAAGGATCAATCTATATTTAAAAAGTAACTTTGAAATTCAAAAATCAAAATTAAGTATTTTGATTGGCTTGAAATTATATTTTTTCTGGACTCTGAAAAATACCTGCATTTTCAGCTTTCATTCAGGTTTGGCTGGTTAAAAAATAGTCTCTAAATATTTCCCCTCAGCTGCACAACTTATGTATCAAAAGAAAGCTGTCCCACTGCTTAGTTGTGAGTAGCTATTGTGCCAAATGCAGAACATAGGCTGAAGGAGTAGAAACCTATGAAAATGGTAACAATTTACACCTACTTTGTTTACTGCCTTTTTCATGGAATCGCCCGCTTGGCCTGAGGACTCCTCTGAGTCAGAGGTATCACAACTGGCTCTGAAGGAACCTGAAGGAAAAAGGGGACACTAGAGGCCTGGCAGTAAGGATTTCAGGATGGAAGACAATTTTTCTTGCTTTCCAGAGGAGTAATGTAATTTCATGTAATTCCAATAAAATGTGGCTACCTAATTTTAAGTACCTTTGGAAAGCCAAGCCTAAGCATCTACGTAGTTCAAGGCGGAAGTGAGACAAGATCAATAAATCCTTTTAAAAAGACACAAAAATTTGTGTTCACTTGTCACTGAATCAATTCTCACAAAACCAACCCAACCATTTCACAACAGCCTTCGTTACTTTTCTGTTGTAGCTGTGCCTTGCAGGCGTTTGTAGTCATTATAATCATGCTGCCTTACTGCCATCTGACTCCTGCCTGCTTTGGATTGCCACCACAGCCTCACGGCCCACCCGTGGGCACAGGCATGGAGGTCACGTACCGGGTTACCCAACAGAGTCCGTTACGTCCCTTCTCATCAACTGCGCAGGGGGAACTCTGGCAACACCCAGGGCCATGCCAGCAGGTTGCTTGGACTGGAAAGGATCCCTGTATATCCCAGTTCATACCAGATTATCCTTGGTCCCCATCCCATTCCTGTACTGGTTTTGTTTTGTTTTTTAAATTTATCTCCTTCTCCACATCCCTTAAATGAAAGTAAGTAAGTTTAATATAATTTACCTTATTTTTTTAAATCATTTTGCAAGATGTTCCCAGCTTGAAAAGAATTTGGCCCACCTTTAATAACCCTAAACCCATTATATGATTTTCCAGCAGTATATAAAGGCATAATTTATATCAGTATGTCACAGTATAGTATATTAATGCTAATTCATCTGGATACAAGGTTTTCTTAGGTATCAATACATCCTCATTTACGGAGCTAATTTCCCACAATTACTCAGCAACCAAAACCAGAAACATAAAATTCCTGTCAGATAGGAAAATTGGCAACATGCACATCCGAAGCATTACCAGTTCCGTATCAGTTTAACTTATGGACCAATTTTATCTGCTTTTATGGAGGTACCATATAGTCATACATTGCATTTTACCATAGCTCTTTATCAGGCACATTTGCACCTTCCTGTGATCTAATTAAGCCTTTAGATCCATGTTTTTCATTAGAGAAGACTTGTGAGGCAGAGAGTATCCTAGTAAAAGGACATGTTCCTAAATCAGACATGGGATTAAAGAAAAAACATTCAGAACCATGTTCAGCTCATTATTTTGGCAGGCAAAAGGTCATTTATAGTTCTGAGTGGTAATTTGGAAGACAAACTATATAGGCATACTGTTAACAGGCCAAATCATCAATGCAAGAACCCACAAAACCTTTAGCAAATTTAGGTGATGCTATTCTACTAGTATTAGTCTGATAGCAAACAGTGTTGGTTTTGAAAAGAAAGTTAAATTTAGAAGCGTTTTTGTCTGTTCACTCATTATTTTATGCCTATTATCACACAGCTCATAGTGTGTCCTGCGGCACAGGTTGTGTTTGATGGTCTGCAGCTTGCAGCAGCAAGGGGTTCACATGCAGAGATGAGGGCTCAGGAGTATCCTCCTGCTCCTGAGCTGTTCTCCATTAATGTGCAGGTGTACTGGGAAGATCAGTTGTGACTGGCTAATTATGAGAAAAGCTGGAGGCTTCATTTGGACTCTCTTCAAAGCCTTTTAGGGTTGTCTCTTGACAACTGAACATTTGTTTAGGCTAAAACAGCAGATCTGTTTTACAGTCTCACAATGTTTTTCTTCCTCTCAGCATGCAGGAGTTTCCTAAATATGTAACTCGACACTTTCTTCCTTCTTAATTTTCTCTGTACTACCTCACTTCCTTCTTAACTTTCTGCACACTACTTATTTGCCATCCTTCTGCACAGAAGTACTGCCTCATACTCAAAACATTGTTTTCCATTCGACAGGTTTTATAAGAAGCCAGATCCAGCTGCACCTTACAAGAGATAAACCATTCACATTCTTTGGCTTGACTTGACCACTATGTCATATTAATTCTTTTTCCTACTTGTAAATGTTAAGTTCCCCTTGCTCCCTTCCCCGTCAGAAGAGAGATGAAGTCAAACACATCTACTCAGATGTTCTCTGCCTCTAAATCAGAGTCATTCTCAAAATGAAACTGAATTGCTTTGGGAAATGCATCATCTCTTGAAACATGGCAAAAAAAACCCCTTGCTGTGAGAAAGTACTTATATATCTATAGAGAAAAAACTTTCTTAATACACACTAAAAAGAAAGTGTTTGCATCATAGGGCTGGTTTTGTGAGGTTTTCATATGAGTCATTATTCCAATGTACCTCACTCATCAAGAGAGCTTTCGATTAGATGGACTAGTGACTACAATTCTTGTGAGCTCACTGAAAGCTTCTGTGGTGGCCCTGACATGACGCTCAACCCCTCATGGCTATGGGGTAAAAGGTATATTTCAGGTACCAGGGAACAGCCTTCGACATGCCTTTGTCTCTTGAACTTTTCAGCATACAGTAGCATTTGTGACAAGAAGACTTTCGGCACTTACGCAGCTCACAGACTTCATGCTGTATTTACTGCATTTTTACTTAATTGCAAAGCCAGACCGAGGAAAAAATATTTTAATTTTATCTTATAAATTCATAATATAACTTCCCAAGAAATAAAATAATTGAAAACTGAAGGGGACTGTATATTTTGGATGAAGTTAATGACAGATAAACACTATGTTCATAACGAAGCTTAGCTATAGTAAAAGAATTTCAGATTTTGCGTACTGCATCGCGTGGGCTGCTTTGGCGGAAAAGAGAGATATGCTAACATCTAAATCTAGGATCACAAAAGTAGTTAGGCTCGTTTCTTTATTCACATCAGTCCACCACTTAAAAACGATGAATCTCAACTAGCTGACTTCGATTTCTTAACAATTATATTCTGATGTTGAGTCTACATAAAACAGTGCAGTTCCATGCAGAGCAATCCAAATCAGCCTTTCATCTACCACCTGCAACACATTTGCATTGGCACAACATTCCGCTTGAGTTTAAAAGCCCTGCTTCCCACTGCACTGTGTGCATTTTACCCTAAGTTTCTGCTTTCAGCATCTAGGTTGTTTCCTATGGATACAGCCTCCTAAGTACTGATGCAGGCCCACAGATCGCAGCCCTTACACTGCAGCTCTAAAGAGGCCTCTCAGAACAGAAATTCCCTCTCCTGTGATCATCTTGGACAATCTCTTCAGCTGCTTCTGGCATACTTACGTGGTCTGATTAAGATTTAATAATGTCTTGCTCTGAAACAAGATAGAGATTTGAGGTCACATACACCACAGCTCATCTGAGTTTTCTAACCTGAGTTTTGATTTCTCTTTTTCTCCCCCTCACACACACACTCCTCAAGTAAGACCTGACTCCAGTTTTTGGCAAATTACCTGCTTAAATGAAGCCTGACCCCTTCCTTCTAATGTGTGCTTCTCTCTAGTCAGCATGCTTCTGAGAACTCTTCCCTAGCAGCTCAATTCCAGCTCTGGAGCCCTCAATATAAGAACGATATTGACCGGTTGGAGGGAGTCCAGAGGAGGCCACGAAGATGCTCAGAGGGCTGGAGCACCTCTGCTATCGGGACAGGCTGAGAGAGTTGGGCTTGTTCAGCCTGGAGAAGAGAAGGCTCCGGGGAGACCTTATTGCAGCCTTCCAGTACCTGAAGGGGCTACAAGGAAGCTGGGGGGGCCTTTTTACAAGGGCCTGTAGTGACAGGACAAGGGGTAACAGGTTTAAATTGAAAGTGGGGAGGTTTAGATCAGATATCAGGAAGAAATTCTTCCCAGAGAAGGTGGTGAAGCACTGGAACAGGTTGCCCAGAGAAGCTGTGGATGCCCCATCCCTGGCTGTCTTCAAGGCCAGGCTGGATGAGGCTTTGAGCAACCTGGTCTAGTGGAAGGTGTCCCTGCCCATGGCAGAGGGGTTGGAACTAGATGGTCTTTAAGGTCACTTCCAACCCAAACCATTCTGTGATTCTATGATTCTATTATTCAATTCTCACTTTGCATTGTATAGGGATACTGGACACCCAAGAAGGAGGAAAAAGAGGGGCAAGGTGAGCATTCCAGTAGGTAGCTTTGTAGTGCTTATCTCCCAATTTATTTGAGAACATGAGTCACAGCAAAGCAAGAGAAACCTTCTTGCTTCTTTGAATTTTACCCCCCCCACACACTTATCTGGTGAAAACTTTCTGAATATTTTAATAAGAAGCAAAGCTCCTATGATAAAGTAAGGAGAGCGATGATCCTTTTGCATCAGAAAGATTGTGTCTTCAGAAATAAGTCTGTTGCATAAAATTGTTGGGGTGAGTTTTGGCTACTATTCTGGTTTCATAGATGATGTAAATGAGCAGAGGAAAAAAAACCCAACCAAAACAAAAAAACAACCAAACAAAAACCCCACACCAAAACAAAACAAAAACCAAACACCAAATCCCCACGACATACTTTTGTCTACCTTTGTCATCTCTTTGCCTTCCAGACTTCTGATGGCTGAAAAAAATCTTGTGATGAGAGAGGGAGAAAATTGTTTTTCTGTGCTCAAATAGATCAGTCACCACTGGAGTCTGGAGAACACCCAGGCTCTACTCCCACATCAGAATTCAATTTGGTCTCCAAATTAATTTTGTACTTAGCAATCTGACAAGCAATACAAGCCCAGATATGGCAAGTCGGAGCCTAATCCTAGAAGTGGTTGAGTAATCCCAAATTTCACTTTCAGAAGCAGTCAGTACTCAAAGTACACTGCAAATTGCAGGTATCTGCAGAGGTCTGTGAATAAGCTCTCAGCTACAAAAGCCCTCACAGAGCTCTGGGCTCCGACATCTAGTCACAGTTTGATATCAAAGGTGGATCTAAATTTAATTACATGAATTGCTGTACATAAAAGAAAATAGACTTGTTTCTTATTGGCCTATGCAGACCAATTAGAAATACTGTGTTCCTACACTACTACATGCTTCCTTCTTTACTCTGCTAGGATATGCATACCTGGATGAAGGAGAAATATAATTCTCACCACGTTAATACTGTGAGAATGATACTGCCCCTTTTAAGGCAGGATCCACACTTTCTACTACTGTGTTGGAATTAATTCCTATCAAGATAAGCAGCTTCAGTGATGCTTCCACTGAAAGGAACAGTGAACTCCCACCTCTCTCCATCTCCACCTATTGTCTCCAGAAATGCCTGCATAATTAATTTTATGAGTCTGCATAATTGAGTGAAATACCTCTTTACAGATTTACAGTGACTCAGCACTGGTCATGCTGCCTTTCACTGCAGTTTAACATCATACCATCAGGTCTGAAGCATGATCAAAAAAGGTGAAGCAGACTAAGGAATAATAAGTAAATAAACTCTCAATCTTAAGAGGCTTTCAGTTTTGTTTTTGTAAGTATAGCTGCAGTTTTAGTGATCACATTGAGCAATGTTATGCTTAAGGTAAAGAATGACTCCTAGGTGGCTCATAACTTCTAGAGGTAAGGTGAGAATTAATAAGAGGTATTTTAGTGTAATTGCAATGAGAAGATGCTGCATGGTAAGAGGGAAAGCTAAACAAGACAGAAGTCTGGAAAAATGAAAGAAAGGAAAGGGGAAGGTGTAAATATAATAAGCAAATAAACACATTTAGTATCAAAAGAGATAAAAAGACTTGTGAACAACCTTAGTTTCTTCCTTGAGCCACATTTTTTACCCAGAAAGACAAATCCATGTCTGATTTTGACCCATTACATAGTAGCAATGTATAAATCTAGACTTTTCTGCGACGAAATATTACATGTAACAAGAGACCTTGTCAGTAATTAGATTCTAATAGAGTAAAAAAGTTGCACATTTCCTCAGTTTTCAGTACTACTGTGGAGAATGGATACCAGATTATCCCAGTGAAAACAGGGAAAGCTTATATTTTCACGTGGCATGAACTCTACTGTCTTACTATCTCTATATATATACTTAAGTACTTGTGTATATACCTCCATACACATATGCATGTGTGCACACCCCCACACACACACAGGTACTTCCTTACTTAGGCCTTGAATTTTCCAGGAGATACTCAGTAAAGGGTTAGATTTGCCCAGAAGGCAAAGCTCAGTCAGCATTTAGAAAAAAAATACCATTTCAGCAAAAAGACAGTACAATACTGTGTTGCCAAACTGTCCTGTGAAATGGATGTGGACTGTAACTTACTGAGATATTAAACAGTTGACAGTTTGCTCGATAAAAGTTCAGGGTATATATAAGCACAACAGGAGATTCAGTAATAACTGCCACTTGTATCAATCAGTTATATCAGATGATTCATGGATGACTGAAGCACTCAGACATTTTTCCAAAAAAAGTTTTGAAGAACAGACCCGAATTTACAGTGAAAGGTACTATTTAAATTCAGTCAGAAAAACACTGACAATGTGTAGACCACCTCATTCCTCCTTTCCCATTGCAAAACAATTCTTTTCATTCAAAATTTAGTGTTCAGAATCTTTCCTGTGATGACTGTGATGCTTGACTACTAAACTGGATGGTCCCTTTCCCCTCTCCAGTCTTACATCATCAGAAAACTTGCTTAGCTTCATGATCACAAGCAGAAAAAACCTCTGTCTCTGTTGTCATTTCCCTCATCTGCATGTCCTGTGCATGTGTTCAGTCATAGCTCCCTCAGTAGTTATAGGGAAGGTAACACTCCAAAGCTCAACATCTCAAAAAGGATCTTTCAGTTTCAGCATTACCAGTGCCATATCACCAATGGCCTGTTTGATAATTCATCAGGATCTTGTGGTCTTAGATGAGTCTTTTTTTTGAAATGAGGCAGAGATAATTTCCCCACTCAAATCATTTTATGTTGTACAATGAGCATTAGCCTTGCCTGATGTGCTCTGTAATGAGGGCTACTATAGCATTTTATACAGTCATTCAGTAACACCAAAGAAAATGACAGGAAAAGAGCATGGGGAAATGGAGTGCGAGGAGGATAAGTAGTCTGGCACTGTGGCCATCTAGACAAGAGTTATAATCTATCCGTGGTGATGTCCCTGGCACAAGGTGAACTTTTCACTCATGTAAGAGCTCTCAGCATGAGCTCTTTTCCCATACATCTTCAGTTCTCTCTACTGTTTCATTCCTTCGGCAGCATGTTTATTCTTTCTTATGTGCATAAAGGTGTTTCTTGAATTCTCAGGAGTATGTATTAATAGTTCAAAACTGTTCTGGAAATAATCCTGATTCAAAAAAAGTTGATTAAGCTTTTCTAATGTTGGAAGAGGCTTAGTTCGGAGATCTTATATACTTTGGTGGCTTCTTCTTTCTCCTATGTATTTTTGATTTTGCTAAAAATAGTAGTGAGTTACTATAAATAAAATGTTTTTCCTTATAGGTCTAACTTTTAATCAGGTTTCAGACTATTTCAGCTGCACTAGCAACTATATGAATTAATCTGGTTACTAGACATGGCAAACAGAACATGGAAAGCATATAGAAGCTTGGTAGAGAGTGACAGAAAGATAAAGTTGACTTTTTCAAGTGTTATTGCTCTGTATTACATAAAACAAGGAAAAATGTGCCCATTATTCCCGGTCAAAGACAGACGTCCTTACAGATCATAGCACAGTCCTGCCGTGAAACATCAGGCTCGTTCTGAGCACCTCAGAGCCCCCACAAAGCTACTGTGAAACCAGAACTGTGGAAAGGTCACTGAAGACAGAATTATGGATTCAGTGGTTCTGTCCTTACACGTGCTCCAAATGTAATCCTTTTACATGCACAGTAGGAAGAGGAGCAGCTGTTGCTGGGCTTCAAGGGTATCCACAGAATTAAGCAGAACAGCTTCCAAATGTGCAATTATTCCCATATGAGAAATCTCCATTAAAAATGAAAAAACACACCCAAAAACCTATGCATACATATTTGGAACTTATTTGGAAAAGTGACATTTGACTGACTGTAATAGTGAAGACCCTCTACATCTGAAATTAAGCTATATACAGTGTAATTAACGGATATCTGAACCGTAATTTCCCAGTCCTACAAAGAGTAATTCCCAGGAGTAAAGACAGCCAGTGGAATTCCACTTCGTTCACAGAACAGCTCTATAAGCAGTTACAGACCTCCTTAGATTGTCAAATGTTTGTAAGGTAACAGAAATAAATGTATTTAGTAACACTGTCAAAAGGTTGGAAGTCTATTATTATTGTTAGAAAAAATCTGTAAATATTTGCAATTACAGAATGAATATATTTGTACCTGTGTTCTTTATATACAGAATATGAAGTACCAGATTGATTTAATGTTATTTTCATATTCCTTCAGCTTTTTTACCAGGTTAAAGGAGATATGTGTTTAAAAATAATTGAAAATGGGAAACAAAAAGACGTCATCATTCGAGAAGGGGAGGTAAACCAGTGTTTTTCTGTTATTGCTGTGTATAAATATATTAAATGGATATTTTATGAAGTATTTAAAAATCAATTTATCCCTGCTGCGCAAGAGATGGCATCAGGATAAAAAATAATCTTGAATGGAGTATAGCGAATTCCATTTAATTAACAGCAAACTACAATACACTGTGTTCAACATTTCATTATTTCAATAACAGATAAAAATCTCTCTGGGAATTCAGGATACGCATTCAGATAGTCAGAAATATACTGAGAGGAATTCTTATTCCCCTGCAAAACATGGAACCTCCCATGTGAATTCAAGTGGATCAGATTTATTTACACACTGTCAAGTTCATACTGCCCACCCACCCAAGCACACCATTCAGTGAGTGGCCAAGAACTTAGAAAGTTAAGAGATTGAGCTATTTTCAGCCTTTGTAGTCCTTGCAGCTAGCCTTTGCAACCATCACAATATGATAACAATTTTAAAAGAGCAATTTCTAGACAAAATGCATCCAGCTGCACTCAGTTGTTTTTCCTTAGAGAAGCTAACTTTCTAAGTGATTTCAATAACAGATAACAGATAAAAATCTCTCTGGGAATTCAGGATACGCATTCAGATAGTCAGGAATATACTGAGATGAATTCTTATTCCCCTGCATAACATGGAACCTCCCATGTGAATTCAAGCGGATCATACATGTGGATGATTAGACATCTTCTGGAGCTGACAACAAACTTGCTTTTCATTTCCATTTCTGCAACTCAGTAAATTTATAAATTCCAGATGAGTTAAGTGGTTAGACTTTCATTTCAGTTGTGTCTAGCAATGAGAATCAAAGCAGGAGGAGAGCACCTGACTGCCATAAAGGCGATGCCACTCCCTGAGTCGATGGTCATCATCCACTGAGAAAGCAAGAAACAGCATCTGCCGGGCTGTGGGTACCCAAGTGGGTAGAGCTGCAAAGGAGCTTAGTGAGCTTTGCAGACTGTGGGATGGGAAGGACAACACAGAGAACAAAGACTTCTGACACTGATGCTTTCCCATTTCTTTGAACAGATGTTCCTCCTACCTGCTAGGATACCTCATTCTCCTCAGAGATACGCAGACACTGTAGGTCTTGTGATTGAGAGGGAAAGATTAAAGACAGAAATTGATGGGCTCAGGTGAAGTATAAACTGTTGGCTATTCTTATAGTATTTGTAATATAAACTAATTTCTCATGTCATTACTATACTGTGTTTTACTTTCCTAATAATTTATCAGATTCGCCCTGGCAATATTATACTAATTTTATCCATAAATCTATTTATCTATATGCACATAAACAGAGATCTCATTTAGCATTGGATTTAGCATCAACAAGGAACATATTGAAATGTCTTTAAATGCACATTGTGGTAATAGCTGTTTGCTTATGTATCACCTACTACTGTCTCCTTAAGTTTTAAAGTCATTTCTGTAACAACACAAATCGAAAAAGATTTTTTTTTTAATCAATTCTGGCAAACAACACTAATTTCTTTGTAAGCACTGAAAACAGAAAGATGAAGAAGACCTTCTTGGCAAGTGTGTGAGAAGCTGGAAACAAAAGTCAGTTTTCTTAACACTAACCCCTCTACATTGTACACACCTCTGCCTAGCTTTTATTGCCTTATGAGAACAACATCTTCAAGCAAATGAGAGTTTTACTTCGCATTCTAGTGGGAGCAGAACTGTCTTGTCCTTTGGTCATAGAGAATTCATAGGTCTAAGGTGGCAAGACACAGCAGTAACGTCAGCCATGTTAGAAGAGCTGTTTTGATATTAACTGCATACGACTGACCAAAGAGAGTGTACAGCTATTCATGTAATGTATAATGATTTAAAACAGCAGTTCTATCTGTAATGTACTGTCCTTTTGCCTACAGTTTTAATTATTGCATGGGCAGTGTCACAGCAGGAAGATTGCAAATACACAGAGCTAGAAGCGCATACTTTTTATTCAAACAAAAAATGTCTAAAGAAAAAAAAAAGGCAAGAAAAGTACCATTCAAAAAAAAATCACCTGATTGGATTCCAAGCTAAAGACAAGTCCTGTTCATTTAAAACATGTTCATCTATGCACTTGTCCCTTTTTTTCCTTCTATAGCAGGTCTGTGAATCATGAACACTTGCATTATTAAGACATTTCAAGCTAGAAACAATTGGCCACTGATTCAGATAACAATGTTTATTTGTAAGGATGGAACTTAAGTAACTATAGGCAACTTTAGGTAAAATAACATACCTTGTACATGAAGTCTGTGAATGGTATGAATAGGGAGATGCTGGATAGCTTTATAGGAATCCCAGGTAGATCTAGAGATTTGCATTTCAGTACAGTCATGGTCTTGTGGACAAAGTAAACTAAAAGCTACCACATGGTTTGCAGGTGGAGAAAATAATTGGATTAACAAAGCAGACTCTTAGTTGAAAATATCTAATCAGGTGCCCCAAAATAAATCACTTAGAGGTATTTAGTGCCTTTGTTTTCACACCATCACGATGAATGGTGACACCTGAAGTTTTGGAAGTGAACCATCATGTCATACTTCTGAACCTACATTGTCTCTCTGTGTGCTCCTGGTGGAGATGGGGATCGGCAACCAGAACCTCCAATCTTCTCAAATTTTTTCACTCCCAGCCACCTGCAGCACAGACTGTACAAGAGAACGTCATAAAAAACTTTGAAGTATGCTGACTCAATGTCTAATATTACATTAATGTTCCATTATTTACCATGCCTATGCCTACAAGCCTCAGTCACAAATAGGACCCCTCAGCATGCTGATTATTGTATAAGTGAAGAATAAGTAGCTTGCCCCAGTGTTTCAGCCTAAGTAATGATTGCATGCTTTGTACTATAAGAAAAATGCACTAGCTAATCTTAATCCTAAGGCAAGCAAGTACAGAAACAGCCAAGTTTGATGTTAGTTGTGTGGTTGGATTCTTTAACACCTAGTAAGGTGCAAAGTCCTTCACAAGTGCAAAGCCTTCTCCCAGATGAGGCATTTGTAACATCTCTCTTCTCTGCAGATTCTCTGTGTTCAAAATCCATGCTCATAGCACAGCTTTTTCCATACTGGAGTCATTAATAACATTACTGTCTTCTGACTATCCTGTTTTTGCAAAACTTGAGGAACCAAGGAGCTCTTAGAATTTTTTTGGATAATATTTCTATAGATTATATTTATTTAGACAGACATGAATACACAAATACACATACATGCACAGTATAATTATATAAGCCTTGTTTCCCTCTTCAAACATGGTGACTAACTCAAAGGACACAAGGACCTATTTACAGTCAGTCACAATATGAGTCACTGTATGGGAGCATCACCCTCGAGTCATGCAGCCTCTTAAATTTGTAGGTAAATTCTGCATTTGCCATTCCATAGATTACAGAAACCTTAAACTATTGATCTCAGCACTATTTATTTATTTGTTAAAACAGAATATAATGCAAGGGAAGCACCAAGTTCCTGTTCAGAGGGGTGAGCTAAACAACATTTCCCAGATTTATGCTGTTCACAACCATCCTTTTTTTTTTTTTCAAAGAAATCCATAAACCACCTCGTATTCATATCAGTCCATGTTGCACGGGCAACATGCAAGCCTACTCTCTTACATATGAGCATTTATCTTATAGCTGCATGGAAGCAGTTACTGAAAATGGTATTTGGGGCCAGTTATTTTTGCAGTAACTATATCCAAAGTGAGAGCTGTTGGTCCCAAGGGACTACAGCACCGATCAGTTTGTAGGATTAAATCCAGAAAGTTCGCTAAAGGAATTTGATGACTTTATTTGTGGCTGATCAGCAAAACCACACGGCCCTAGACATAAGATTAAGCACCCCACCCACCAGCCAGCTAGTCAGAGAAATAGAAATGGTCCCTAAATAACCATTCTTCAGAATAAAGTACACCAGGCTTGAGAATAACATGCTCTTGCACGTATCAAGTAGCTATTTTCTTGAAAAGACTGAAACTGGCTGATCAGTTAGTGAATAAAGGATTGACTAATGTTTTTATTTTGTCAGATACTATGTTGGAGAATCAACTAATGTCCTCTTTGAAAAATGGTTTCACTGTGAAGATCTCGGCACTCAACTTAAACCAATAATTCAAGAGTAAGCTTTTTTCTGTGTACATTTTAAAAGAATAGTTGAAGTGATTTAATAGATCTTTGTCAGCCTGTGACTTTCATAGTTAATTTTCTGTTTATGCTTCATTTTACATTGACTTGTTAGAAGTTATATGCTGCTCTACAAATTTTTAACCATGTCTTGTATACCCCAAACTTATTAAATCATATTAAAAAAAAAAAAATCAAGTCTTCCTCACATCTATCTGGAACATAATTTTTGAGCAAGTAAAAGCACATTGCTGCTATGTCCAAAAAGAACTGAATGGAAAATAAACACTGAATTGATGCTAGGTTAACTAGGTAAAACACTAAATTGCCTCAGGGCTTCTTTCACTTTTGCTTTAATCTAAGTACATTTAATCAATATTATGCATGAATAATCAAGACCAATGCAAATTTGGTAGAGAGCTGCTTTCTAGGAAATGTGTGAATGTCATCAGTTAACTCATCAGTTTGTTAAACAGTTGCTAAAGGTGAACACAGAAATTGTTTAGTGACATGAATTTTGGAGGACTTTTGGACAAACCCTCTCTCAGTGAAACAGGCATAACCCTGTTGAATACACGTGATAGTAGCTGAGGATCCGGCACATCTATTATCAACACAAAGCTTGATGGCCAGTATTACTGCCTAGTCTTTGTTAACCTACAGAACATGAATTTTTACTGGTGTTTAAATTTTCATTACTCCAGGTTTTTCAGTTCAAGACAATATCAAACTGGAAAACCAAATCCAGGTAATACAAATTAATTTCATAATTAGAACAATTATTGTACCTGATTGAACAGCAATGATTCGGTCCACGTAAAATGACTAAGTTTGGTTTTCTTTCTGATTATGTAAATTAAAAGTTACTTTGGGAAGTAATTCCTTTCATTACCCCAAGCACAAATAACATCCATATACATGATTACCAACATCATCCTGGTTGTTCATGTGATGCCATCATAATGACCTATCAGGTAACTGTACAGTATGAATTCTCAATATCTCTATTCTTGCATGCCATTCAAGACTTACACTAACAACATCTTATTTCTGACTATGCAGAATGGAATTTTGGTAAGTTGAATCTACTGGTACTGCTTTACCTATAACTATACACTGTGATCTCCTCTTGGGAAATGACACCTAGAGAAAGACAGACACTTTTAGTTCATGTAGGTCTGATCCATTTAACATTCTATTTCCATGCTGTCTTACCTTATTTTTATTTTGCATGTTTGTGGATACTGATTGCAACTTCAACAAAGGAGCAGATACTCGAGTTGTAACTCCACTCTTGAGTCTGTTGGACAGAGGCATAGGGCACAGAAAAAGTGACAAAGACTGATTTATTAGTACCTTTAGGAATCTTTATCTCTCGAGCATGATGGTTGCTTTCTCCATGGCAACTGAATTCTCTACTGCAAGGATATTTGCAACAGCACCTTCAGTGGGAAACTTGTTTTATTGAATTCTTACAGTCCTGTTGGCCCACAGCTCTACATGGACATCCACCATGTGCATGATCCATTGCTACTGATTAACATAAACTGTGTGCAAAATACCACCCCCCATCTTAACTATGTACAAAAGACTACACCATGTGACCATTTCTGCACATATAGGAACAGTTTCTATGGACTATTTGCAAGTGTTTTACTTAGGTGCAACCTGGTCAGTTCTGCTGCAGGAACTACCTGGAGAGTCTCCATGACATTGCCAGGTTCTTAAATGACACATAGAAAAGTATAAATCAGCACAAGCCCAGCAGGTGCTGCCTGTGGGATCTCCAGGACAGCCTGAGATTCCCACCTGGAGAGCAGCCCCTGCACCAGTTAGCCAAATGCTGTTAGGAAGGCCACCAGTTCAGACAACCCCATTGCTCAGCTAGGTTTGTTGCTTCAGGTCAGTCTATTGTCTCATCTATGAAGATGACCGGGTGGCGTCCTGCACCAACCAGGAAATTTCTGGCACAGGCGCACTGCATGTGCGCACATGCACAGACAGAACACCCAGCTATGCTACTCTTACAACATGACAAACTTGAATGTCATCCTTCATTCACACCCATGACCTCAATTCCATAGCTCTTGCCACAGGTTAAATTTCAGTTCTCCTCTCTAAGTTAGAATTCTTTGGAACCAGTTGTCCTTAATCTCTGTATTCATTTTTCAGTGTCTTAAGATGATTACATCTATCCCATTTTTCAGCTGGATAGGCACCACAAAAATGTCACTGCTTGCTGTCTCAATCAATAATGGAACAAGTTTCTTACTCAAATCCTAAAATCAGGGAATGATGTTTTTTGCATGAACATTTGCATGAACCCTTCCTAAAAACAGTTGACTAAACCATCACCAAAATGAAAAGCTCAGAGGAGAGTCCTAGGTATGGGACAGCAACCTTACAAGCCCTTGCAATTAGGAGATGGTAAGCCAGTCAGAAACCCTGTCTGAAAGACTGCAGCCAAACCAGCTTTTGGCATTGGTTTTGACTGACTGGGAAACATACTTCTCAAAAAAAGGCTCTGTGTTTCTTGCAAACAAAATGTTGTCTCCAAGATTTTACTTTTCTTTATGAACACCATCAAAATGTGTTTATATTAATTTGAGCATGTCACTTGTGTGACATGTTTGGGTGTTAGTGATTTGGGGTCTTTTTTGTTGTTTGCTTTCTTTTGTGGTGGGTAGGTAGGGCAGGTACTGTCCCTCACTGTGTGTTCATACAGTGTCTAACAGAGGAGATATAGTTTCAGATAAAACCTCTAGATGCTGCTGTAATAAAAAAAATATCCCACACATGCTATCCTTGTTCAATACAGTGATTTCCAATAAGCATCCCTCACCAGTCTGAGCTAAGAGCTTATATGTCAGTAACAAATCAATTATATCAGTGCAGAAAAAAAGAATATTATATATTGTTAATATTTTTGCAGAAGATTAGAGCGAAAGAACAAACCTGACAATCAATCAGAAGCTGACACATCTGGACACCTTTTTTTAAACTCAGAACTTAGAATATTGATAAATCCAGTACAGAAGCTCTTTCTTTGTAATTTATTAAAATCTGTAAAAAGGCCAAAAGGCATGAGAGACTTCAATTAAAGCTGATTTTATTCTGCAAAACAATAAAGCAAGTAAAGGTAGTTATTTTGCTCAGAGCTTAATACGTCTTTTACCCTGAACGGCTTCTCCTCTTGGATTAGCTGCTATGTCATGACAACAAATATTTGAAATGCTCTTGGCTTAACCCTTGCTATAAGCAACAAACAGTCAACAAAGTTACATGGTGGGCTTTCAGTCTGGGGAACAGCTCCATTATTCAGTTCTCATGGACAACGAGAAGCTCAAACTCTCAGTGATTTCTTACACATGAGAAAAACATCCCAGATTTTTGGCTTACAGAAGTTTTAGCTAGAAGCTCCTGTAACGGTCAGCAAGACTTGTGTTAAAATAAATCTTACCAAAAAGTCAAAGTTGGACTTAGATGTGTGTAAGCTGGTAATATGTTCCTTCTGGAGGCATACCCAGCTGAAAGAAATAATGCTTTGGATTTATTCCCTCAGCAGCTCTTTCTTTAGCAGCAGAATTCAACCACCAGCATGACAGTTGTGACATATAACAAGCTACCACCAGTTTCTCATGTTTTTTCACTCAAGACACATTTTCAGAAGATTTGAGCTGGCCTATGCAGAGGGCTGGGTTTCAGCCTCTTCTTTCAGTTTCTCTTCTGAAAATCCAGAAGCCACTCAGTTTAAAAGTGCCAGCTGAAGCACTCCCAGGTTCATCTCTACATAAACCCAAACTAGTGCCTCCCCTTTTCAGAGAGAAATGGAATAAAATTGAAGAAAAACATCTTGAAAGACACTCCTGATTGCAGCTCACTCACAGAGGAAAGCTATAAATGGAATCAATCAGGACACAATTGCTTTAAAAAAAAAAAACCCTCAGACCCCCCAACTCTAAGTCCACTTTCAGTCCAGACTTTTTCTTTATTTATGGTTTCTGGCTCAGCCAACACTAGGGCAAGTCCCTCAGAAAGGAGGGTACTCAGAATATAGGAAAGGGCAGCAGTAGCTATTAAAAAAGATATATTTTTAGAAGAGGGACTCAAATACCATCAGGTAAAATACCATCAGAAATATAAAATCTTTACTTGAGGCATCTTCCCTGGAACTGTTTTGTACTAAACTACGAGCCTCTCTTGTTACCACGTGTAGAAATAAGCCTGAGAAAAACTCTCCCCTCACCAGTGGTGTAGGCAGAATGTCAGGGGCTTCTTTTATCCATCTTAATCTACTTCTAATTATCAATGAAATTTTAATTGCCATAACAGCTTTATATTCAGTAGACATGCAGATATACAATACAAATACCGGTCCTGTAGTGACCTCACTAGCAAAACTTTCATCAATTTTAGGTATGTCAAGGGTAAGTTAAAGTTTGGACTTAAAATCTGGTTAGTATTTTCAGAATACAGCACAGTTCTATGCTTGTGATTCAGGGCAGATAAAACCTAAGGATCTGACTAAGCATGAAAATTGGGTACTTTCTTCAGTCAGTTGGAGTAGGAATACCATACAGCCTAGGGCATGGTCTAAACCAAAATGTTTTCTGGTTTCAGTAGCACTATTAAAGAAGTTACAAGGATGAGCTCAACACTATAAACATCTGCTTCTGTACTGTCATCCTCTGTAGCTAATCCAGTGCAACCTCTGTAGTCAGTATTTGCTGTTCAGTCTTGTTTCAGTGTTTAGTGTATAAAACTAATTAGATCAAAAGAGAAGAGTGATAATAACTGAAAACAAGAAAATGCCAAAGAACAAAGATAACTGGCTACTGGGCAATCTTCATTCAATTAAAACTAGTTCAGAAAAATAAAGGGAGAGTAACAAATTCTGTCTTCATTTACACTAGGGCAATATAGGGCCATTTTTTTTGAACATCTAACTGCATAAATAATGTGCCTTTCTGTTGTACATACATTGAAATAATTTTAAAGATACTATCACTGTGGGATTTTTAAAAGGAAGAATGAAGATATTGGAAATGAGTTTTATTTGCTATGAAGCTGTTCAGAAGACTGAATATTTTCTGTCATCTTTCAAGGACTTCAAACATATGTAGACAGATTGGTCTTTCTCTTTTGTGCTAATTCTTTCTTTGATTACTTGTATTAAAAGAAACACATAAAATCATTTAGATATTAAGGAGTGTTCCTCTAGGGCATTGATTTTCACATCATCCTCATTGTCTCTATTCTGGCAAAGATGCACACAAAAACACACTGTTCGTCTTTATCTCATCATACATACACCCTTTATGTAACTTCCAAGTCATGTTCATATCTCTCCTGAAGACCATCTGAACTGCAAGGAGCACATAGGTGAAAGAAGGGAACAGAATCATCTAATCATAGAATCATAGAATGGTTAGGTTTGGAAGGGACCTTACAGCCCATCTAGTTCCAACCCCCCTGCCATGGGCAGGGACACCTTCCACTAGACCAGGTTGCTCAAAGCCTCATCCAGCCTGGCCTTGAACCCTTCCAGGGATGGGGCATCCACAGCTTTTCTGGGCGACCTGTTCCAGTACCTCATCACCCTCTCTGGGAAGCATTTCTTCCTGATATCTGATCTAAACCTTCCCACTTTCAGTTTAAACCGGTTACCCCTTGTCCTGTCACTACAGGCCCTTGTAAAAAGTCCCCCCCAGCTTCCTTGTAGCCCCTTCAGGTACGGGAAAGCTGCTA